CCAAACACACACACCCATCACCAATGGTTAAATCATCTTTGGCTAAAATCACTGGTTGACTGGTTGAACCATCCGTTGTTAAATCACCTTTGGTTAAATCAGCACCTTAAAGATTACCTTTGATTAAATCATCGTTTAACTCATTATTGGTTAAACACCATGATTAAATTACAGGTTTAAACATCACTGTTTAACTCATCACTGGTTCAATCATCACTGTTTAAATCATCACTATTTAAATCATTACTGGTTAAATCATCACTGGTTAAATCATGGGTCAAATCATCATTGAATGAATCATCATTTGTTAAGTCATCACTGGTTAAATCATCGCTGGCTAAATCATCAATGGCTAAATCATCACTGGCTAAATCATCATCGTTTAAGTCATCATCGGTTAAGTCACCACTGGTTAAGTCACCACTGGTTGAATCATCATTGGTTAAATCATCGCTGGTTAAATCGTCACTGGTTTAATTGCCATGGGTTAAATCATCTCTGGTTAAGTCACCACTGGTTAAATCATCGCTGGTTAAATCATGGGCTAAGTCATTAGTGTTTGTCATAACCAGCGGGTCTTCTCTCGTCTCCCTACAGTCCGGGCGCCGTCATGACTCCATTGGTAACTTCACTGGTCGGAAACAACCAGGACATGATCAAAAAGGTAGGAGTCCACAATATCATCATCATCATCATCATCATCATCATCATCATCATCATCATCATCATCATCATCATCATCATCATCATCATCATCATCATCATCATCGCTCTCGCTCGAAGACTTCTTAGTGGAGTCCACCGGGGGTATGTGTGTGTGTGTGTGTGTGTGTGTGTGTGTGTGTGTGTGTGTGTGTGTGTGTGTGTGTGTGTGTGTCTGTGTGTGTGATGTGGGGTGAGGGGAGGTTAAATGAGGCTTGGAAAACTCACCTCCACTATAGACCGGCGACTATGGTACAGTGGTCAGGCTTTTCGCCCAGCACACAAAGGACTTAAGTGAAATTCCCTCTCCTAGACAATAATTCTCCATGTATTTCTATCGCTTACTTCGGTCTTCCTGCTTGGGTATACCCGACCGCCTGTGTTTGACCCCTGGGCAGGGTCGTGGCTCCTGCCTATATTGTGCTCAGGGGGGCGTAAAACTGAATTTCTCGTCAAATTTACGAACCTTCCTTTCAGATGGCTGAAATGCAGGGCAAGCTACACGCGCTCCAGCGACTGGGTGAGCCAGAGGAGATAGCCGAGGGCGTGGCCTTCCTCGCTTCTGACGCTGCCAGTTTCGTGAGCGGCACTGTCCTGTTTGTGGATGGGGGTAGGCACTGTTTCCCTGGGAGTGTTACTGGCTCCAAGAGTGGAAAATCTCCCTTCTAAACATGTGTGTCTGCTTGCTGTGAGGTGAGACCACGGCCTGGTTGCGTCAACATAATTTGCTGTCTTGACGGCGGGACCAAGTGTACCGCCCAGCAGGTCACATGGGATGAAGAAACCTTCAAAAAGTGAGGTGTTCATTTTGTTGTAAATACCCACAATAAAGTTGTTTGTGCTACTTTTTCCTTTTGACAATTAATGTGTTTGCTTTTCTTTAAATTTTTGGACTTTTGATTTCATCCGCCCACCTTACCTTTCTTGCTTATTTCTTTCTCCTTCCTCTTCCTCCTTTCTTTCCTTATTCTTTTCTTTCCTTCCTTCTTTTACTTGTACTTTTCATTTCATCTTCCTTTCCTAAATTAATTTCTCCTTCACTTCCTTCTATCCGTAATTTCTTCCTAGCTTCCTCATTTCCTGTAAGAACACTGTTGTCATCAGTTTTCGCACCGAAGGCTGCACTTTGAACTTTTTGGCAAGAGATGATGATGGATGTTTATTGATAGGTTAATTTTCTGTCTTTATTAATCACTGCATTCTGTGTTTTATATCAAACAACAAATAGTTTAATAAACCTGCGTTCTATACTCTCTCAATTGTCTGAGCCACTTTGAATAAAGTCTTGTGACTCCATTGTTAAGGGAACATGTTATTTCTTAATGTATCTAATGTAAAGTTAGAACATTCGCTCTGTTATAAGGTAACAATATAGTCATGTTTCTAATGTAACGTTAGAACATTCGCTGTGTTATAAGGGAACAATATAGTCATGTTTCTAATGTAACGTTAGAACATTCGCTCTGTTATAAGGGAACAATATAGTCATGTTTCTAATGTAACGTTAGAACATTCGCTCTGTTATAAGGGAACAATATAGTCATGTTTCTAATGTAACGTTAGAACATTCGCTCTGTTATAAGGGAACAATATAGTCATGTTTCTAATGTAACGTTAGAACATTCGCTCTGTTATAAGGTAACAATATAGCCATGTTTCTAATGTAACGTTAGAACATCCACTCTGTTATAAGGTAACAATATAGCCATGTTTCTAATGTAACCAGAAAGAACATCCGCTCTGTTATAAGGGAACAATATAGCCATGTTTCTAATGTAACCAGAAAGAACATCCACTCTGTTATAAGGTAACAATATAGGCATGTTTCTAATGTAACCAGAAAGAACATCCACTCCGTGTTAAGGGTCGTGGTGTCCAGTGGCGAAGGGTGACTAGTTTGTCAGGGTAATCAAAGTGAGGCAAGGAACCAGATAGAGATGAGGTCACACAAGAATAGATTTCCCTCATTAGAAACTCAACAAAACTTCGTACTTGAGTCGGCATCACTGAGTTGTCAATGAAAACAAATCCCGAATTCGTATCGTATGTCCAATCGCCAAAATAATCGGGAGTTTATCTCATTAAATATTTATTCCTATTTTGGGCAAAACGTAATCCTAACTTTTAAACGCACTTTTGGGATAATAGTTAAGATTTTTTAATACAAATTTTAACAAACTAAGTGAATACACAAAGAAAAAACAAGGAAACAGAGATGACAATACTTAAATATATTAATATAATACACGACATTCATCAATTTGATTTAAATTTGGCTGCCTTTGCTTTTGGCGGCTAGGAGCCGGTGTTATAATCTCCCCCCCCCCCACCGGGGGGGGGGGGGGGGGGCAGTGCTACTGAGTGAAGTGTCTGTATGCCATTCCCAAAGGGGGAACATTAACAAGGGCTTATGCCCATTTAAAATTAAAAAGGGGCGGGAAAACAAAGGCTTGCCCCTTTAAAGGGCCCGAACCGAAAAAAAAAAAAGGGGTTTTTTTTTTC